GAGGCAGGAGACTCGCTTGAGCCCCGGGGGTTGGAGATTGCTGTGATGTCACGGCACTCTACCCAAAAAAATAGCCAGGCGTTGTGGCGGGTACCTGTGGTCCCAGCTACTTGGAAGGCGAAGGCAGGAGACTTGCTTGAGCCCAGGAGTTGGAGGTGAGCCCAGGAGTTGGATGTTGCTGTGAGCTGTGATGCCACAGTACTTTACCCAGGTGGATAGCTTGAGGCTCTGTCTCAAAAAAAAAAAAAAAATTCTGCTTTAGATAGAAAAGGTTTCAGTGTTAGAAGGTAGCTGTCAGTTAACATATTGAGGAGATCATGAATGAAATAGTTTACAAAGTGGTTTAAATGGAGCTTTTCATATCCCTCAAGTGTTTGATGTTCCATGAGTCTCTTGTTGCTCATTCCTAGATGTGGCAGCTTTACAGCCATCATGTAGTCACCTTGGTTTCTTTATATGTCTTTATTTTCCTGTTCTGTATTCTTCCTATCTAAATTGTATGAAGGCATTTCTAATTTTTTTGTATTTCCAAAAGTTACCTAGAGCGATCTTTATGTTATTGTTGCTAATGATGTTGTGGCCTGACTGATAGTAGTTTGTGCTATTGAGACAAAACCAGATTGGTTGAAACAATTTTCGTTCATTATTGAGATTTTAGTTGCTTTGGGGGTTGACTAACACAGATCATATGTTTGAAAGGTGGAGACAGAGAAATGGCTTTTGTACTATTTGTAAGGAGACAGCTTAAAGAGAATACAGTGGAAAAGAAGTAAGAGATAATGTAGATGTGTGACTTCAATGAAATAAATGTTAGCAGCAGATATGGAAGACACATTTGACAAACTTTGGAACTTTCTTCCTATTTATTTTTTTCTAAGCACTTGGATTAAAGTGAGTATTTTGACAATTTACTGGTAATCAGCATAAGGTGGGATGAAAGAGAAGAAGCAGTGCTATAATTCCTTAAATGATTAAGGGAATTGAGATGAGTCATTTTTTGTGGATATTCTGCGAGTGCATAAATGACATGTATAAATAATATCAGGTATCTTTTTGATTGAGAATTGAATGATATTAGAGTGATGAATAAATAGTATTTTAATTCTTTAACTTTTAAACTTTTTTTGAAGAATAATATTCACAAATTATCTAAATATATTTTGAATTGAAAAGTCAGAAATGAATCCTTTGGTTTTTCTGAGAAGGTTCATCTCAGGTTTGATTATATTTCTTTTAAAATGCATGATAGCAATGGAGGATTTGCCCCAGGACCCCCCGTGCATGCCAAAATCCACAGATGCTCAAGTTCTGTAAAGTGGTGTAGTATCTGCATATTACCTGTGCACGTCCTCCTGCATACTAATCATCTCTAGATGACTTATATTGCCTAATCTACGTAAACACTGTAAATTGTTGTTATTCAATATTGTTTAGAGAATAAAGAGAAAAGTCTGTACAGACACAACCATTCACTTCCCCCCCAAATATTTTCTTTTTAATTTATTAAAATTTTTTTTTGAGAAAGAGTCTCGCTCTACCACCCTGCAGACAGTGCCGTGGTGTCATCATAGCTCACAGCAACCTCAAATTCTTTTTTTTTTTGGAGACAGAGCCTCAAGCTGTCACCCTGGGAAGAGTTGCTATAGCATCTCAGCTCACAGCAACCTCCAACTCCTGGGCTCAAGTGAGTCTCCTGCCTCCGCCTCCCAAGTAGCTGGGGCTATAGGCATCCACTGCAACGCTGGCCACTTTTTTTTTTTTTTTTTTTTAATTGCAGCTGTCGTTGTTTGGCGGGCCTGGGCTGGATTCGAACCCGCCAGCTCAGGTGTATGTGGCTGGCGCCTTAGCTGCTTGAGCCACAGGTGCCGAGCCAATTAATTATTTTTTTAAGAGACCAGGATCTCGCTTTGTCACCCAGGCTGAGGTGCAGTGACATGATCACAGCTTGCTATAGCTTCCATCTCCTGGGCTCAAGTGATCTTCTGCCTCCATCTCCTAAGTAACTGGGACTGTAGGCTTTCACTACCACACCTGGCTAATTAAAAATTTTTTTTGTACAGATGATGTCTCCCTATGTTGCCCAGGCTGGTCTCAAATTCTGGGCTCAAGTGATCCTCCTGCCTTGTCCTCTCGAAGTGCTGGGATTACAGGCGTGGTCCTCCATACCCAGCCTTTTCCAAATATTTCCCATCCAAGATTGGTTAAATCCATGGATGCAGAGCTAGTGAATATGGAGGACTGACTTGACTTTAAATCCGTTTGCTTCTGTAATTATAATGCATTGCCTGGATGAGTAAGAACAAGTAACAGTCCCTTGAATTATAAACATTGACTTACGTACAACTTGAACTTCACGAATGGAGCTATTACAGTAAGTCACTGAGTTACAAGCATCTGATTGATGTATGACTCACACTTAGGAATCGAGATGGTTATAGGTAGTAGGCAAATGTACCTGTCCAACTAACATACAATTTCAACTTAAGAATCCGGGGACTGCCAGTAATGAGAATGTTAAACTGCAGAGTTTGATTTTATTTAAAGGCTGTGTCTAATGAGTACTGTTCCTTTTCAAAGGGCACACATCACAGAAGGAAGCCATGGAAGTGAGCCTTGATATTACAGCCCTCAGCATTCTCCAACAGCCAGAAAAACTCCAGTGGGAGATTGTTGCAAATGTGCTTGAAGATACTGTTAAGGATCTTGAAGAACTTGGGGCAAATCCTTGCTTAACAAACTCTAAGAGTGAAAAGACAAAGGAAAAGCACCAGGAACAACATAACATTCCCTTTCCATGTTTATTAGCTGGAGGTTTATTAACATATAAATCTCCTGCTACCTCACCCATTAGTAGTAATTCTCATAGGTCACTGGATGGTTTAAATAGAACTCAGGGTGAAAGTGTATCAGAACAAGGGTCAACTGACAATGAATCCTGCACTAATTCAGAACTGAATTCTCCTCTAGTGAGGAGGACTTTACCTGTTTTGCTTCTTTATAGCATCAAGGAATCTGATGAGAAAGCAGGAAAAATATTTTCACAGATGAATAATATTATGAGTAAAAGTTTGCATGATGATGGTTTTACTGTTCCACAGATTATTGAGATGGAGCTGGATAGTCAGGAGCAGTTGTTGTTGCAGGATCCTCCTGTGACTTACATTCAGCAATTTGCAGATGCAGCAGCCAACCTTACCTCTCCAGATTCTGAGAAGTGGAACTCTGTGTTTCCCAAGCCTGGGACTTTGGTTCAGTGCTTGAGGCTGCCAAAGTTTGCAGAGGAGGAGAATCTTTGTATAGACTCAATAACTCCTTGTGCTGATGGAATTCATTTGTTGGTAGGACTGCGGACATGCCCTGTTGAATCCTTGAGTGCAATAAATCAAGTAGAGGCCTTGAATAATTTAAATAAATTAAACTCTGCACTATGTAATCGACGGAAAGGTGAGCTGGAATCGAATCTTGCTGTAGTGAATGGTGCAAATATTAGTGTAATCCAACATGAATCACCAGCAGATGTACAGACTCCTTTGATAATTCAGCCCGAGCAGAGGAATATTAGTGGTGGATATTTAGTTCTTTATAAAATGAATTATGCCACTCGGATAGTGACTTTAGAAGAGGAGCCAATAAAAATCCAACATATCAAAGATCCCCAGGACACAATTACCTCGCTCATTTTGCTTCCACCAGATATATTGGATAATCGGGAGGATGACTGTGATGAACCTATTGAGGAAATGCAGTTAACCTCCAAGAATGGCATTGAAAGAGAAAAAACGTCTGACATTTCTACTCTTGGACACCTGGTCATAACCACTCAGGGAGGATTTGTAAAAATATTAGATCTTTCAAACTTTGAAATTTTGGCCAAAGTGGAGCCTCCCAAAAAGGAGGGCACTGAGGAACAGGACACATTTGTTTCTGTCATTTATTGCTCTGGCACAGACAGGCTGTGTGCATGCACCAAAGGTAAGCTCTTGCTCGATTCTTCTGCAAATCTTATAAAATTGGTATATATGGCATTTGTGTGCATACCTGGCATGAATTTTAGATTCATATAGATGGAGAAGAAATAACTTTTGTATAATGAAGTGGTAAATCCTTCTGTTTAAATTGTTCTTAATTTTTTTCCTGCTGTCCCAAGTAAGGATTCTCATTGTATTAATAATACAGAAAAATATCTTCTGTGCTTTATACTCAAGAAAATAGCCTGCTGTTGTGTGAGTTATGACTTTGTATCTGTTCATGATTGTGGGCAAGTTTCTTTTAACTTAGTAAACTTGTTTTTTTTTTTTTTTTTATAGACTAGTTTAAGGCCTATTTCCTAGGCTTACTACAGTTAAGTGAATAATGTATGTAAAGTTTCTGGCAGAGATTATTGGTTATTTCCTTGTGAAGTAAAAATACTTAGCAAGTAATTATTAGTTTTGCCAAATAAAATTTGGCTGATTTACTCTTGACCTTGGGTTGGTGAATCACTTCTGCAGCATCTGAGGTCCCATATAAAATAATGTAGTGTGGCAATTTTTTCCCTATTTTTTCATATACATTTTAAGTTGGAGATAAAGCAATTTTTGTAAAGGATTACTGACAATATTAAGCAGAATGAATAGCCTTATTGATAGTTTAATAGGAATTTAGGACTTGGAGATATTTGAAGCATAGGCAATTGTAACCAAGGCTTGGTAGAGAAACTGTTATTTTAAAAGGGTTACACTATTTCTCACCCGTGGTTCTGGTATGAATTAACCTGACTTTTTTCTTTTTGAAGAGAACTCAAGAGTTTAGTTGGAGAAGATAATAGTTAAGGCAGTGTTCAGATTGCCTTTTTTGAACTAAATCGAAGTTTAAATAATGAGGAAAAAAAGTCTTAAAAATAACATCAAAATTCAACTAGATTACTTTAAAAAGTGAGCAATGTAGAGCAGTTTTAAACTAATAAAAATTTATCATTGAAGAGTATAGAGCAACTGTTAAAGCGCTATAGGATATCAAAGATAATTTGACTTTTATTGGTCATTGTTACAACTTTACCTCTGTTAAGTTGTTTAGTTATACCAAGTTTATGAGGTGTGTACTATTATTGTTTCCATTTTCCAGATAAGGAAAGTAAGCGAAAGAGTGGTTAAGTAACTTGCTTAGTCATAGAGCTAATAAATGGCAGAGCCAGTGGTCAAACCCGGGCAGTCTTCTCTTAAAGTGCCTCTATCTATCTATCGATCGATCTATCTATCTATCTATCTATCTATCTAATCTAGAGACAGAGTTTCACTTTTCACCTTCCGTAGAACGCTGTGTCAACATAGCTCACAGCAACCTCAAGCTCTTGGGCTCAAGTGATCCTCCTGTCTCAGCCTTCCAAGTAGCTGGGACTATAGGCACATGCCATAATGCCTGGCTATTTTTAGAGACGGAGTGTTCTTCACCTGGTTTCGAATCCTGAACTCAAGCAATCCACCCACCTGGGCCTCCCAGAGTGCTAGGATTACAGGCATGAGCCACTGTGCCTGGTCTGTAACCACCTCCTTTTTTTTTTTTTTTTTTTTTTGGACTGGGGCTGGTTTTGAACCCACCACCTCCAGCATATGGGGCCAGGGCCCTACTCCTTTGAGCCACAGGTGCCGCCCCAACCATCTCTTTTTTGAGACAAAGCCTCAGGCTATCGCCCTGTGTAGGGTGCTGTGGCGTCAACAGCTCACAGCAACCTCAAACTCCTGGGCTTAAGCTATTCTCTTGCCTCAGTCTCCCGAGTAGCTGGGACTACACAACGCCTGGTTATTTTTGGTTGTAGTTGTCATTGTTTGGCCGGCCTGGACCGGATTTGAACCTGGTATGCATTAAGTAATAACTCCCCGTCCACTCTACTCTCAATCTGGTAACCTCTATTTTCTGACTCTGAATTTGCCAGTTTAGATACTTCATGTAAGTGAAATCATACATTTGTGGGGATGGTGCCTGTGGCTCAGTGAGTAGGGCACTGGCCCCATATACCAACGATGGCAGGTTTGAACCTGGCCCTGGCCAAACTGCAACAAGAAAATAGCTGGGCATTCTGGAGGGTGCCTGTAGTCCCAGCTACTCGGGAGGCTGAGGCTGAGGCTGAGTCAAGAGAATAGCCTAAGCCCAAGAGCTGGAGGTTGCTGTGAGCTGTGATGTCAAAGCACTCCACTGAGGGCAACAAATTAAGACTCTGTCTCTAAAAAAAACCAAACAAAAAAAAGAAATCATACATTTGTCCTTTGTGTTTGGCTTTTTAAACTTAATATATATTTTAATTTATTTTATTATTTTTTGAGACAGAGTCTCACTTTGTTGCCCTGGGTAGAGGGCTGTGGCATCACAGCTCACAGCAACCTCAAACTCTTGGGTTTAACTGATTCTCTTACCTCAGCCACAATGCCTGGCTGTTTTTAGAGACAGGCTTGCGGTCTTGCTTAGGGTGGTCTTGAACCTGTGAGCTCAAGCAGTCCGTCCACCTGGGCCTCCCAGAGTGTCAGAATTATAGGCATGAGCCACTGTGCTCGGCCTTTAAACTTAATATATTTTTAAAGCTCACACATGTATTATAAATCCCATCTTCATGGCTTTTTATAGCCAAATAATATTCCATTATATGTATATGTAGTGGACCCCCTTAACTGCGACTAGTTACCTCTGGTCAACTGCCGTCTGAAAATATTAAATGGGAAGTTTGATAAGCCAGTAATTCAAATTGTGCACTGTTCCACGAAGTGTGATGAAATAAATCTGTTGTCCCACTGAGGACATGAGTACTCCTTTTGTCCACTGTATCTATATTGTATATGCTACCTGCTGTTAGTCACTTTGTAGCTGTTTGTTTATCAAATGCACTGTCCAGGTCTCTCATTATTTATGTTTAAGCAACGCTTATTTTACTTAATGATGGCCTCAAAGTGATGTTGGCAGTTCCTGTATGCCAAAGAGAGTCTCATTATGTTGCCCTTGGTAAAGTGCTGTGGCATCACAGCTCACATCAACCTCCCAATTCCTGGGCTCAAGTGATTCTCTGCCTCAGCCTCCCAAACAGCTGGGACTATAGGTGCCTCCCACAATACCCAGCCATTCTTTGGTTGTAGTTGTCATTGTTGTCTGGCAGGCCTGGGCTGGATTTGAACTCACCAGCTCTGGTGTATGTGGCTGGTGCCCTAGGCACTGAACCTCAGATGCCGAGGAGACAGTTTTACTGTGTCGCCCTTGGTAGAGTACTGTGGTGTGTGTCACAGCTCATAGCAACCTCAAACTCTTGGGCTTAAGCGATTCTCTTGCCTTAGCCTTCCAAGTAGCTGGGACTACAGGCGCCCGCCACAGTGCCTTGCTATTTTCTTGTTGCAGTTGTCATTGTCATTGGCTGGCTCCAACCTGCCAGCCCTGGTACATGTGGCTGGTGTCATAACCACTGTGCTACGGGCACTGGCTTTTTTGTTATTGTTGCTGTAGTTGTCGTTTAGCAGGCCCGGGCTGGGTTCGAACCTGCCACCCCTGGTGTATGTGGCCCACTTCCTAGCTGCTGAGCTACGGGTGCTGAGCCAGGGAGGCCTTTTTGTTGTTCTTTGCTTGTTTGGGCTTTTAAATTAATTTTTTGAGACAAAGTCTTCCTCTGTTGCCTGGGCTAGAGTGCTTTGCCATTGCTTACTGTAACCTCAAACTCCTGGGCTTGAGCTGTCTTCTACCTCAGCCTCCCTAGTAGCTGTTACTATAGGTATGAACCACCATTTTTCATAGACACGAGGTTCATTCTTGCTTAGGCTGGTCCCTGACCTGAAGTGATTTTCCCACCTTGGCCTCCCACAGTGCTAAGATTTCAGATGTGAGGCACCATGCTGGCAAGAGAGGCTGTATAAGTGATTTCTTCAAGTAAAAATGTGAAAATTTTGACTTAATGAAGAAAGAAAGAAACAGAAATCTGTGCTGAAGTTTCTAAGGTCTGGGATAAGAAATGAATCTTCAATTTGTGAATTTGTCAACATATTGTTAAGATTTTCTATTTTTGTTAGTTACTGTTGTTACTGTGCCTGACTTATAAATTAAACTTTATCATAGGTATGTATGTCTGTATAGGAAAAAATACAGTGTATATAGGGGTCAGTATTCTTTGTGGTTTCAGGCATCCACTATGGATGGGTCTTGGGAACTTACCCTTTGAGGTTAAAGAGTGACTACTGTGACCCATTTTGTTTATGGGTCCCATTGTTTTTTTTTTTTTTTTTT